TCAAGTGCTGAAAACTCTGCTTCGCCTCTGTAATAAAATTCGATTTTCGGAACTAAAGTTGATCACATTTTTCGTGGCCTTTACACTTTGTTTTAATTGTTTAATTCACGTTTGCATTTTGTAAACTTACTTACCTTGACTTCATATTTCCTTCTTTGTTTTTTTTTGTTTCGCTAAAAAAGTTTCATCGGTCAAAAATATTCCGGCCTATTTTTCATCGGTTTAAGGACCTAATTTTTTCGGACGTTTGACTTTTCTCGCAAACTACCCTCCCAAATCTGAAATTTTGTGTTTAATCAAAAATACAGATTGCGTGAATCCCTTCTGAATAACGTGTCTGCATAATTTTTTCACACAAAAAGCTATGATTCTCGAAAACGCCAAAAATTTTTTGATTCATTGAACGTTTTTTTTCTGACATTTCGCGCTAACTAACCTGTCAAATCTGATACTATAGGATAAATTAAAAGAACAGGTTGTTGAAGCTTACCTTTCAAACTAGCTATGCCCTGTTACTTAAAAAAGTTACGGCCTTCAAGTCTGTCAAATTTTTGAAACTTTGACAATTTTTTTGGAAACTTATTGATTTTACGCGAAAACTACTGGGCCAAAACTCAGGTTGTGCTCAATCGAGAAACACGGCGCTGGAAATTTTTTCTGCTTAGGCGACCAAGTTTTGAAAAGTAATTTCAACGTTTTTTGAAACTTTTAGCCGCTTTTTAGAAACTTTTTGAATTTTCTAAAATTTACATAATCAAATCTGAGATGAAAAGCTCTATTGAAAGAACGAGTTGCGATAATTGTTCCTGCAGAAGCAGCGATTCTTTGTTTTTTTTTTATATGAAAAATGTTATCTTCTTGGGAAAATTGAGTATCTCGAAATTTTTCACTTTTGTCACTTATTTCAGTAGAGAAACAACTAAAATTTTCGGCGAATTCCATTTTTAACAGCACATTTTTCGTGCTGCATCAGTTGAGCAGCCTCATTCAATACTTGTCACGCACCTCCAGCTTTAGCTGAGCGTGTGTTTGTTTTTATCGAGACTTACGAAAAATTTGGTTCACCTATTTTTTTTTTGAACATCTTAAATTTTTTTCGACTTTTTAAAAAAATGTTTTTCAAGTGCTGAAAACTCTGCTTCGCCTCTGTAATAAAATTCGATTTTCGGAACTAAAGTTGATCACATTTTTCGTGGCCTTTACACTTTGTTTTAATTGTTTAATTCACGTTTGCATTTTGTAAACTTACTTACCTTGACTTCATATTTCCTTCTTTGTTTTTTTTTGTTTCGCTAAAAAAGTTTCATCGGTCAAAAATATTCCGGCCTATTTTTCATCGGTTTAAGGACCTAATTTTTTCGGACGTTTGACTTTTCTCGCAAACTACCCTCCCAAATCTGAAATTTTGTGTTTAATCAAAAATACAGATTGCGTGAATCCCTTCTGAATAACGTGTCTGCATAATTTTTTCACACAAAAAGCTATGATTCTCGAAAACGTCAAAATTTTTTTGATTCATTGAACGTTTTTTTTCTGACATTTCGTGCTAACTAATCTGTCAAATCTGATACTATAGGATAAATTAAAAGAATAGGTTGTTGAAGCTTACCTTTCAAACTAGCTATGCCCTGTTACTTAAAAAAGTTACGGCCTTCAAGTCTGTCAAATTTTTGAAACTTTGACAATTTTTTTGGAAACTTATTGATTTTACGCGAAAACTACTGGGCCAAAACTCAGGTTGTGCTCAATCGAGAAACACGGCGCTGTAAATTTTTTCTGCTTAGGCGACCAAGTTTTGAAAAGTAATTTCAACGTTTTTTGAAACTTTTAGCCGCTTTTTAGAAACTTTTTGAATTTTCTAAAATTTACATAATCAAATCTGAGATGAAAAGCTCTATTGAAAGAACGAGTTGCGATAATTGTTCCTGCAGAAGCAGCGATTCTTTGTTTTTTTTTATATGAAAAATGTTATCTTCATGGGAAAATTGAGTATCTCGAAATTTTTCACTTTTGTCACTTATTTCAGTAGAGAAACAACTAAAATTTTCGGCGAATTCCATTTTTAACAGCACATTTTTCGTGCTGCATCAGTTGAGCAGCCTCATTCAATACTTGTCACGCACCTCCAGCTTTAGCTGAGCGTGTGTTTGTTTTTATCGAGACTTACGAAAAATTTGGTTCACCTATTTTTTTTTTGAACATCTTAAATTTTTTTCGACTTTTTAAAAAAATGTTTTTCAAGTGCTGAAAACTCTGCTTCGCCTCTGTAATAAAATTCGATTTTCGGAACTAAAGTTGATCACATTTTTCGTGGCCTTTACACTTTTGCTGTTCGATATTGGATTTTGCCTTCCTTTCAATAAAAGATATGAACTGAACTTCAAAAAAATCAAAAGTCAAACCGCGAAAAATAATTGAGCCTGAACAAATTTTAGGGTTTTTCCTGAATAAAAATCATCGCTACCTTTATAAGAAGCTGAACTACGTTCATCGACTCTTTAAAATACGCTTCATTCATTATCGTTTTAAGTTTCAATACCTTCACTTGTTACGCGTGCAACATCACAAACGTCAAGAGTCAGCAACTTTCACTGTAGTTTGAAACGTTTGAGTTACTTTAAAAACCGTTCAAAATTCCGAAAGGTACTGGAAGCTTGTTTTCACATGATACGCTCAACAACAATCAACACTTATTGTGCGTATGATGTTTGAGCAAACATCAAAAGCCCTTTTCAGAAAATTGTATTTTTCCTTCATCTTTTGTAAATTATCTGATCAGCTGGTTTGAATCATGAATGTTTCCAAAACAGCCGTTTGTTCAAAAACGTAAACAAAAATTCAAAAACTTATTCTCAACTATTTAATCAGAAAAATACTGCTTATATCAGGGAGAAAATATTTGACTTGCAAACAGCCCAAAATTTGTCTGAAGTAACTTTTGGTTGCAAAATTTGATAAATGGAAACTTTGGAAGACTTTTTTCCATTTATCAAATTTTGCAACCAAAAGTTACTTCAGACAAAGGAACGCAAAGTCAAATTTAAAATGATAAATTTTTCATCTTAAGAAGTAAATATTTGACCAATAAAATTTCCTCAATCTTATTTGAAACATATTTTTTGAGCAATATTGATTTGGCGTCCACGCGTCGATAGAAAACTGAAAGAATAGCGTGTTAAAACTACTTCAAATTTCAAGCCAAAATGTCACAAAAAACGTGAAATCTTTAAAATTTTAAAATGAAGTTTTAATAATTCCGATAGTGAATCGTGAGAAAAAAAAACGCTGAACACAAGAACTACATCACTTTTTATAGAGTTGCAAAAACTGATCTTAAGCTTGGAAAGCAGCAGAATTGTAGCAAACTTCGAGCAAAAAATTTTTTTTGCAAAACTAATTATCAATCTTCTTTAGCTTAAATTGATGAGAATAGATGTTGGTGGCTACTACTAAGCTTTTGAAGCCTCTGTATGTAACTTTTGAAAACAACGGACAAAAAACAAAGCTGACAAAATTTTAGCCGAAAAACAGGAAGCCAAAAAATCCATGACAAAAATGATTTCAAACTCGATTACCGATTTAAAATCTAAACAGAGTAGTTCAGCACCCGGAAATTGAACACTTCTAAAAATACAGATTGGGACAAAACGAGCAAAAACGGAGACCAAAGTCGAAGCTTACAAGATAAAATGCATTAAGATAAAAATACTGCTTATATCAGGGAGAAAATATTTGACTTGCAAACAGCCCAAAATTTGTCTGAAGTAACTTTTGGTTGCAAAATTTGATAAATGGAAACTTTGGAAGACTTTTTTCCATTTATCAAATTTTGCAACCAAAAGTTACTTCAGACAAAGGAACGCAAAGTCAAATTTAAAATGATAAATTTTTCATCTTAAGAAGTAAATATTTGACCAATAAAATTTCCTCAATCTTATTTGAAACATATTTTTTGAGCAATATTGATTTGGCGTCCACGCGTCGATAGAAAACTGAAAGAATAGCGTGTTAAAACTACTTCAAATTTCAAGCCAAAATGTCACAAAAAACGTGAAATCTTTAAAATTTTAAAATGAAGTTTTAATAATTCCGATAGTGAAACGTGAGAAAAAAAAACGCTGAACACAAGAACTACATCACTTTTTATAGAGTTGCAAAAACTGATCTTAAGCTTGGAAAGCAGCAGAATTGTAGCAAACTTCGAGCAAAAAATTTTTTTTGCATAACTAATTATCAATCTTCTTTAGCTTAAATTGATGAGAATAGATGTTGGTGGCTACTACTAAGCTTTTGAAGCCTCTGTATGTAACTTTTGAAAACAACGGACAGAAAACAAAGCTGACAAAATTTTAGCCGAAAAACAGGAAGCCGAAAAATCCATGACAAAAATGATTTCAAACTCGATTACCGATTTAAAATCTAAACAGAGTAGTTCAGCACCCGGAAATTGAACACTTCTAAAAATACAGATTGGGACAAAACGAGCAAAAACGGAGACCAAAGTCGAAGCTTACAAGATAAAATGCAAAAAATTCCGAACGGAATTTGACCTTTGCATCTATGCGGGACTAGACGGGTAAGCTAGCCGTACAAGGACAAAATGAAATAGAAATTTTGGGTTGATTTGTAAAGTTAGTTCAATTTACCATTCTCGATTAATTTGACCATTCTATGTAGAACGCTTCAAACGGGAAAAACTTTAGCTAGTTTAATCAGATACGAAATTGGCTCAAACAAGGGCAAACACTCATCGAAAAATAAACTAATCAAACCCCAATCAGTAGAGTAACATTCTGACGTCATCCCATCTGCTCCATGTATTGAAGAATTTAACAAACCACTAGCCACCAATAAGGCTATAAACAGTCATAACTACGCCACCCAAATCAGCATGAGTGCCACCAAAATCAGCTAAATTGATGGCGAATTGGATTGTGAAAATCGAATCGTAATACATCGATGCTCGGAAGCTCGCATGTGTAAAAAATCCGATACGGAAAATAAAATTCAATTAAAATGCCTACAAATGTGGCCTAAACTACAAGATAAATCGCATTACAATTACAAACAAAACAGTGAAATTACTACCAGCGGAGTTTTCACTATAAGGTTCTTCCGAGCGGTAGATCCATAAAAACATGGTTTTCAATCCGCCCATCATTCATCATCAAAGGATAACTTCTGCTGGTTGGTTTCTCTATTGAGTTGCGTTTTGCACACAGTTAATGATGGACTGTATAGAAGGTCTGTCAGCTGCGTACTTCTGGGGATAACACATCAGGAGCTTCCCGCACTTGTCGACTAGAAAATCTCCTCCCATCTGAAATGAAACACAAAAATTTTGGATGCCAAAAAATGAGGAATTGTATGTTGCAGTGGAATTTGAAGCCTCTATGGGCTGCATCTATGTTTATCGAATTTTGCGATCGCAATTCTTCCATTATGTTACTTACTCGAAGATTCTAATAATAGCTAGATATGCTTAAGGTTTCCTAGTTAAAAACTGAAAATCATTTTGTCGACAGAAAACCTTAAGAGCAGACAGTTGGAGAAATTAAACAAAAAAAACATTCTTGGCTGCTTTGAGCGATTTGCTCGTGGGTCCTAATCCAAACCAGTATTTCAGTTCAATTTATAAGCTTTAATTGTTTAGAGCACCAGCGGATTTAGGGGCGGGGGCCCCCTTTATACTATTTTGAGATATCAATTTTTGGCTGACTGAGCCACAAATTTTTCTGAAGACGCTTTCGGCGCCAAAATATACTAATTTTGCTGGGGAGCGCGCGCCAAAAAAACGCGATTTTTTGGTCAAAATTTTCCAAAAGAGCCTTAGAGCGCCTTTTTTGGCCTGTTTTTTAAAAAAAATTGCTTGCGGCGCAGAAAAAAATTGGTCGAAATTGGGTCTTTATAGTGATTTGGAGAGCTCAGAAAATCAATTTAGTCGACTTAAAATTATTTTTTGAAAATCCTCCCCCCCTCTCGAGAAAATTCTAGATCCGCCCCTGATTTAGAGATAGATTACTGACCGGCCTTTATTAACGAAAAAAAACCTGCACAGTTGGTATCATAAGTAGACAACGATTGCAAAAACATAGCCAGCTGACAAATTAAGAGTTAAGAAACTATTAATCCACATCTGCAGCCACTCCGAAACAAAAAAAAAACTGGTGACCAAGTTATGTTCCTTCATTACATTCAATCACACAACCAAAACAAGGATAGCCGGTTACTGTCCAAGTAGCACAGAACGTACCGACCTTAGTCTTAAAAAAACACTCAGTTATTTTAAAAAATTAGTGCTCCTTTTTTGGCTAGTTAAAGGGATCTGAACAAAAGCTAGAACTTATGCATATGTAACAGTCATAGTAAAATAACTATATCGAAGAACAGTTTTTGTAGAAAAATGACAATAAAAAAGAAAACTTTTTAGCGATTTTTTTTTCATTTTTTTTAATGTTCACGGTTTAACCAAAAATTTCACGGCTTAAATTTCAAACCGGTTTTTCTCGAAAATTAGTTTTTAGGAAACTTTTATTGTCGTTCGAATCACAACTGAAAAGGCTTTAATACGATATCTCAATCAACCCAGTCCGATTATAATTTGGTAGCTGATTTTGCGTGAAAAAAGTAAAACACACCCGAATACAAAGTTCCTCCCCATTTTTCAAATGATCGGGAACAAATATGCTACGGTACTGAGCGCACATTTTTATGAACATTTGAAAAACAAAGAAACTCAAATCGTCAAGTAACACTACTGACTACCACGTACAGCAGCTTTTCTGAATCACTTGCCTGGAGTGGGTCATCCTCCTCATTTTCGAAGGGTTTCAGGAACTGCTTGCCCTGTTGGATCTGACCAGCGTAGTAATGCATAGTCTGAGAGCCCCACACCTTCGAGAAGGAGATACGCAGTCCAAAGTAGTTGTAAAACTAAACATTGCCAATAGACAGTTCGAATGAATAGCGTTAATAAATAGCCAAAAAATATTATCAAGAGGAAATTATTTACACAGGGGCGAAGCGGAGCTTCGCGCCACTTTCGATGCAACAAGCATAAAAAACAAAAGAAATCGAAAAAAGGAAACGGTTGAAAAAATTAGGCCTACAAAATTTAAATGTTCATGTCTCGATAGAGGTTCATTCTAGGCAAACTTGCAAGACATTTGAATAATAATTTAGCAACGGAACAAAACCTATGACGAGCAAACAAAGCTGATAATCTTTGAGCAGACACAAGTTGAGCCCAAAAAACTGATTTTATAAATATCTTGAAAGTTTCAAGTCCATCCTTGAACTACAATGAACAACACTTGCACTTGCAACTACAATGAAAGCTGCTTACAGCGCAAGAAAAATTTGTGATGTGGTAACTAAGCCGAAAAATTTTGAGCAGACACCAGTTGAGCCAAAATATTAGACTGAAAAGTTTTCTAGAAAATTCAAGTCCCCCTGAAACTACAATGAACAACATTTGCACTTGCAACTACAATGAAATTAGCTTACAGCGCAAGCAAAATCCGTTGTGACAACTAAACCGACAAAACTTGAGCAGACAAACAAAAATCCGACAAATCAAATTTTACCAGAAACAAATTTCAATTAGGTACAAACTTACAAAAAAACAAGGTCCGGCCGGGACTCGAATCTCAGAACTTAGGGTGCAAAGGCGACTCGTTATCTCTGGGCCAAGTGGGAAAGAACCTGGAAGCTTTAGAGGTTCAATAATAAAGCAAGTCGAAAATTGAAGGTACTATAACACTCAGTCAAGTTACAAAACACTTCATTCATAGACACTAAACAATAACAAAATAGCAATAACCTGTTAAAAGTTGCGCCGTGTACCTATCGAAGGATGATATTGATAAACAAAAAAGAAAGCAGATAAATTTACCTTCCTGGACTGGTCAGTGACTACAGTGTGCGTGCAGCCAGTTTCCCTTTTCCATCTGGCAGCCCCTTTTTGAGATCCAAAGGAAACCATGACCATCTGGACACCCAAACTAGCCAAAAGCTCCTGAAGTATGATCGACTTAATAACCATTTCTCAATCGATTTCAAATATTTGATCACGAATAGAAAATAGTTTTATATACTTAAATAGGAGCTGAATCTTAAATAAAAAAGCAGCTTTTCTTTCGGTTTTAAGTTAATAACAAAGAGGAAAAGCTGCACTATGCAAAAAAAAGTGAGGAACCGGCAAAAGTAAAGGAAAGAAAAGGTAAATCTAATAAAAATTCTGCTATGTTCAAAATTAAAATCTCAAATTTCTGCTCCCACCGGGCTCAAATTTAAAATCTAACGTCCTAGCATCTCAGCCATTGGTGCTTGACAATCGCGAACACTAGACACCGGAAAAAATACAAGACATGAAAATAATGCAGTAAAATCCAACCAAATCAAAATGCTATTGCTGCAAAAATGCAACCAAATGACGAGCACTTACATTTTTGACTGAAAAATGAACTTTGTAGCTGGCTTCTGTAATAGCTGGCTTGTTATTACACAAGCCAGTTAACACTTGACAGCTGGTTTGTGTAATAAGGATATAAATAGTAAGGGAAAAAGATATTGAAGTCTTTACGCTATGTCCGGTACTAAATGATAGCTGAATTAAATGATGCAGAATTAATATACTGCTTACGCTACGGGTTTAAAGAAAACTGAGAAATATCTTGTTGTTGTTGTAGCGCTGTGAGCCCTCTTCACAGATAAGGGAGTCGTTTTCGACCAGTGCTCTTAAGAAATAATAAGATATTTGCGGGCGCATCCTGAAGTTGAGTTTCTGTTGGTTCATGGCCAAGGTGTTGATGTTAAATATCTCGCATCACTACCACTATTTATGCATTTATTGTCCGTTTTCCCATGGTGGCGGGGTTGAATAATCGGAAAAGATTCAGGTGAGGGTATTGAGTAGAAATGAAGCTACTTAATGGAGGATAACACGTTTTTCCATGCCATTCGATCAAGGCACTCAGAGGATTTGAGGCCTACAGTATTCAGATCTCGTTAAACATAATCGATCCAGCGGTTTTCAGGCTTTCCTGCTCGTCTTTTCCCTGAGATTGAAACCTGGCCTATTGATTTTAGTGCATTGTCATTTTCTCTTCGGTGAACATGGCCAAACCATCGTAGCCGAAACCGCACTTGTAGCTTGTTCTGATCAACAAGACCTGTCAGAGCTTTTATATCAGCCTTCTTAAGAGAGCTGGATATCAGCCTTCTTTATAAGTGACTCCTGTTCTTCTCGCAGTTCATATAGTCCTTTTAAAGATGCCTGTATATTGCCATCTCTAGCTATGGAGTCAAGCTCCGTATAAATGATACCTTGTCAAAGTCAAAATCTTTATTCAGCAGCAGAGGCGCAATTTACCACCACTTTGTCCAGAAAACTGCTAATCTGACCGATGATGAAAATTATTTCATCACTTTCATTGGTAATCATATCAACCAGATAGCAGAACTCTTGGCCAGTACTCAGGGTCTCAAGTTGATTGATCAGTCGAGTAGAATTCTGATTTGAGCGATAGTTGGAAGGATTATTGCATCTTGGACAAACATACTTGATATTATACTTCGGTATTTTTCTCAGACCCCTGCAATTTTTATGCACCCACTTATTACAAAAAAGCTGCGTATTGAATTGGCGCCGACTCTCTTTAAAAAACAATCACATGCATATTTTCGGATTTTTCGAGGAATACACTTTTGGCCTGATATCAAATTTTGGCCTCTTCCATTACTATTATAAACAACAATGGGATAAGTGCTGATCCTTGATCTCGCATCAATTATTCCAAATTAGCAATTTGAATTTTCAAACCACAATGGCTGGCGAAAAAAAAAACAATCGCAGGTAAAATATATTTGTAATAGTGACCTCAAGGGTATCAATATCTTCCAGATGCTATAAAACAATCCGTCAAAATCAATTGAATGAACTAAAAAAACGAGGAGCATAAATACTCTGTAACTTTCTTCGATAGTCAGAACAACAAACTTACCCCATTAACTAAAAAAAACACGTTAGTCCTGTTAGAAAGAATCAAACATGTATAAAGATGTCTTTTTTTCTTGTGTGACCACCCCTTATCTACTCGGTTAGTAAATTTTTGACTGTTATTTTCATAGGCTGGGCAATAATTCGTTACAAGCAGCAATTCGTACCTTGGCACCGGCAGGAAGGTACCACTAGCTCGGCTTCACTACTATTCAGCAGGAGAGGCATAGTGTGCGTGAAGCAGGGTTGCCGCTTAAACTTATGTTACTAATTTTCGCCTCACGATATTCACTCCATCAAAATCTCAGTTGACAACCAAACTACTGTAAATTGTTTCTTGGTTTTAGTTTGTCTTACATGATGTTGGTCCAAATCAGTCACGTGGTTTCGTCATGGAAGTCATGCGAAGTGCCTGAGGAGCACAAACAAGGTAAATGGCTTTTCGCTGTAGATGTCTCCAACACTCACTGCCCTACAAAGAACAAAAAGTTTCGTATTTAGTATCAATTTACACGCAGAAGCAGCCTCGTAGCTTTGCCATAAATCTCTAACGCATCCTATTGACAATGCGAATGTGTTTCTACAATGGAAAAAATCGCATGATTGTAATTTAAGAATCGCAATAATGAAAAGCAGTTTTTGCGCCTTGCTTTTCTGAACAGATTAAAACCGCAAAAACCGCCTTACTAAATACTGAATACTAACTGGTCTGATTCCACATGGGTGACTGATAAAGTTGGATCCATTATGCCACCAGTCTCTACTTTTGCGTCATTTGAAGCCACATTCCGACAAAATTTCCCGTCTATTAGACCCACGAAGGTGTCTAAATTGTCCTAAATCATTCAGTTGAAATTAAAGTTGAATTTAAGCTCGGGTATTATAACCAAGTAGAACAAATAATTAACCTCAAATTGTAGAAGCTCTTCGTATGCTTCCTGAACGGCAGATGTTCTGTTGCATAAATTTTCAAATAATCTCAAGCAAAACCACAGAATCAAAGCAATGCTCATCATCATCTGCGGCGGCGAAAAAAAAACATTAGTTACAATTTCGCAATTTTCTTCAAAAACGAATAGAAAAAATTCCAAATAAATGTGACGTCAAGAAAAAAGTGGATTACAGTGATGGTAATTTCAAAATTCGTGTTATTTTAAATTTTGAAAAACCATGAACTTGTGTGAAAATTTTATATTAATTCTTTGAAAAATTTTACAATGACATAAAAACGTCACATCTTGGAAACTAAAAGCAATCGAGCAGTCGCATTTGTACGCAAGTTTTGCAAGCCCTGAGAGTACTCTCAGAGTACCCAAGTATTTTGAGAAAATTCAAGTTCAAGTTTTCTTAACAATTTTTGTTTCAAAAAACGTCAAATCTCAAGATCTAACAAGTCAAAATTGGAGACAAGACTTGCACGCCCTGAGCATACTCTGACAGCCCCCAAATAAAGGGTTAGGAATTTCAAGTTTAAAAAAAAACTAAAAAATTATGTTTTCTAAAAAAATTCTCAAAAAATCACAAAAAAACGTCGTATCTGGAAAACTACAGAAGTTTGAACAGTCATTTTTGAAGGCAAGAATCAAAATTTTTGACAGTACTCTGAAAGCCTCCAACTACAGGGAAGGGAAGTTCAAATTTTGGAAAAAAATTAACTAACTTTTCTAAATTGGAAAAAAATGACAAAAAACGTCATATCTCAAAAACTACAAAAATTTGAGCAGTCACAATTGCCCACAAAATCTATCCTTAAGAGTTCTCTGATAGCACACAACTACAGGGATAAAAACTTTTAAATTTTGAAAAAAAAAATTTAAGTTTTCTGATAATTTTTTGAAAAAACCACAAAAAACTTCATATCTGAAAAACTACAAGGATTTGAGCAGTCATATTTTGAGGCAAGATTCACAACCCTTGAGAGTTTTCTGACAGCACCCACCTACAGTGTTGCCAATTGCAATTTTGATAAAGTTGTCGTATCTCGTACACTAAAAAGATTTGAGCATTCAAAACTGGAGGCCCAACTCGCAACCGTTTGCGAAATTGTGACAGCTTCCCACTATTGGGCTGCTTATTTTAAACTCGGTTAAATAACCACTAAATTCAAACTGGTAAATCGAAAAACAAATTCTTAACCATTGCAGTACACGATATAGCTAAAACGTGAAAAAATTCTTTCGTTTAACAATGTTTAAATAAAACATTGAAAAAGCTTAACCGTGCCGAGATAGTGAAGCCCGCATTTAAATATATAATAGATATATAGATTATTTTGTATTTTGAGTTTCTGAAAATTTTTAAAAAAACCACAAAAATTGTCGTATCTCATACACTATAAAATGATTTGGGCATTCAAATTTGAGGCCAAACTCACAACCCCTTGAGGAATCCTGGCAGCATCCCACTATTGGGCTGCTTATTTTAAACTCGGTTAAATAACCACTAAATTCAAACTGGAAAATCGAAAAAAAAACCTTAACCATTGCAATATACGATATAGCTTAACGTGAAAAAATTCTTTTGTTAAACATGCAAAAATAATAAAAAGAATAATTAAGCGTTGAAAAAGCTTAAACATGGCGAGATAGTGAAGCCCGCATTTAATTATATATTAGATAGATAGATAGATTGAAAATTTTCCAGTCTAAATCATAGAAGAAAAAAATGACCGAAAATAGCGTAATAGGCAAGCCGAGAATCGTGAATCAAAAGTAATCAGTCAAGAAAAAAATGATGCATTTTGGAAACACGCATTTTTTTTCTTTTTGCAACGAAGGATTCGACTTCAGAAAACAGAATGATTACGAGCGTTAATGTAGGTGTAAAAATGCGTGTTAAGCAAACAAAACTTGAGCAGACATCTGTAAGCCAGAAGATAGAGTTTGAGAGAGCAAATTGGTAGAAAAACAACTTTACTACATATTCTGTCAAGATATTTCGAATTAAATTATTGATTAGTCTTGTCTACGACATTTGAACTTGATTCTTTGCCGAACCTAATTTTGCCACATTTTTGACATGATTATGCCGCCAAATTAGTAAATTGAAAGACTCAAAAACTCAAAAATCAAAAGAAATCATTTAAAAAGAAACAACTAAACTACGATTTGAAATTGGAATCTGAATCACCCAAAAGTATTGCCATTGTCATTGGCGCCCAATAGTTTTTAAAACAAAGAAACCGAAACCAAGGTTTTTTTTTGTTGGAAAAATCAACGAACCCATCCTTATACTAACCAATCATATTGTTTACTTTTTTTTTGGATTGTAAGTTCCAAAGAAAAAAAAAACTCAAAATCATTTTTTTTCTGTTACAATACAATTGCGAGGTTCCATGTAATCAAAGGAATTACATATTGGCCATTTTACACTTTTGCCTAACACGTCAAAACGTGAATTAAGATAAGGAGACAAAGTCAATTAAAAATGAATTCAACCTATGATGCTGTTTTTAAAGTCATAGAAACAGACGTAGAAATTTTAGCAAAAGCAATTAACCAAGCCATAAGCGATTCCGACGAAGTACAGATCATAAACGATTTCTTAACGGAATTGAAGAGCTTGCTCGACGATGCCAATAACGAAGCAGTCAAGATAATGCGCACCGGAACGGACCAGCAAGACTCAATCATTGAACGATTGAAAACTTTGAAAGTTTTGTACCGAACGATCCAACTACGATCAAAACGATACGAGCGTACCCTCAACAACACTGCCACGTCTTCTTTAAACTCATCACGAGTAGCCAGCAACGTCTCGACGCCTTCAATAATACGACAAGCCTTGGAAAATCTTCCCCTTCGACGCCAAACGGAAAGTTTAACCCGTAGTACCACTACACAAAACGTCACCATGGACCAGGACACCCCGGACGATTCGCCACAATTTTCAGGATTGCCAGCAATCTTAAACGCTACTTCAAACCACAGATCAAATTCCGCCCAGGACAATTCAGGACTCCTACTTCGCCCCGGATCTAACAGCGACGCCAATACCTTGGATCATCGCATTCATCAACAACAAACAGAAACTGTTGGAACTCAAACTGCCCATGGAACTCACCTCCATCCTCAGTCAAACCTCTCATTGCAGCAGCCGAACGCCGACTTGTCACAAAGTTCAAACCTTCAGCCGAACCACCCAGAAGCTCAACTTCAAGGAACGACAAAAGAATTGAACAATGGAACTCAACTCCAAATCGACAACCAGCAATTGACAGCAACAGTGGGACGAAGACCGAACTCAGAAGCTCAACTTCATGAAACGTCACCACACTCCAACCCTGGAACTCAAATCCAAGTTTTCAATCAGCAGATGAACGCACCAGCAACCCAACAAAGAAATGTTTCAGAGCCAATATTTCTTCCTACAGCAACTTCAAAAGCAGCTCAGAGTCAAATGATTGGACAGCAAATCACACACCCAATTCTTGCTCCCCAGACAGCTAGCCCCCCACATGGACTATACCAGCCTTCAAGCCTTCAACAGAACCAGCCTCCAAGTCAGCAACAGAGGACACATAATCCGAATAGCGCCTTTAGACCCATCTTGACGATTGGAAATCAGAATTCAACCAATCATCCCCCCACCAACGTGTTCAGTGGACACCAGACGACAGCTAAGGGTATCACAAACATCAATGGAGTACCGATACCAGCACTACTGCCAACAAACCAAGGAGATCAACGAACAGCAACAAATTGGACCTCCAGCCAGCCGACCCTGACTCACCAATGTACACAACCTGCCATGCGATCGTACCAGGAAGGATTTCTGGGAACCACGACAGCATACAACCCTACGAACATGCTGACATCATCAACCACAGCCTTCACTCATGCAGGCTGCAGGGGACCAACAGGAACAACTCACCAAAATATCAACCGACCTCCCCCTCATCAACATGCAGTCCATCAACATGCAGCACATCAACATGCAGCACATCAGAACCAGCCGACTTATTTCCCGATTCCTACCAACCTTGGAACAGCACCGACAGACCACAACCATCATCAAACGATCTCGAAGACATTCAGGAAATCAGTGCCCATTGTCAAACCATTCATATTCGACGGAGAACCTGAACAATGGTTAGATTGGATAGGACTGTTCAACGCAACCATCAACAGCACCGACATGACAAACTCGGAAAAGATGACACATCTGCAGAAACTTGTATCCGGAGATGCCAAATCTCTCATCCGAGGATATGGATGCAATGGAGCAATGTATGACGCAGCCCTTCAGCGACTGGAAAACGACTTTGGTAACCCGACGAAGATAGTTACATCCTTCCTTCGACGACTCGACGCCATCAGCGGCCCCAATCTACGACATACCAGAAGCTACAAGGACCTCGCCAACTTCCTACAGACAATGGTCGATACATTCACGACACTTGGATTCCAGCACGATCTACACTCTACGACAAATGTCCAAACAGTTTTGTCAAAACTGCCTACCCCTTGCCGACTAGAATGGAATAGATACAATCTGCAATGCAACATCAGACAACCATCACTCATCGACCTCACCAATTGGTTTAACATCTACGCCGAAGCATGCAGCGATTTGCCGAGCAACAGCAACAACAATAACACCAGAAACAGCAGCAGCAGCAACAACTACAACAGCAGCAACACTCAAGGATCATCATCCAACGGTCACACCCACCAACATGGACCATCGGATCACCGCGCCAATCAGAACAACCGGAACCAGCAACGCAGCCAGCAGCAACATAAATCTGGACAAAAGGATCAACGACGAGATTTTTGCCCGGAGAAACGCAATTGCCAGTACCTTGGAAAATGCCAACACTTCATCGCAATGAACCCAAAGGACAGATTACAGCATGCCAGAGACCTACAACTATGTTTCAACTGCCTCAGCCCCCACAAGTTCGCCGACTGTCAATCAACGCAAACCTGCCGGACGGAAGGATGCAGTAAGAA